TACGTCGAAAATAGTTCCGGTAATTTTTGACTGAAATAACTGAAAATACTTAACTCCGAAAAATAATATCGGAACTGAATATTATATACTGATAAAAGTTGGGATATTACAGAAGTCGTCAAGGCTTTCTGCAATTCTCCTGAGTTTCTCGACAAGCTTTGCCCTGCCGCCGTCCAATATTTCGACCATGCTTTCGACGCATGGGAGGCTGTGGTGGCGGGATCTGAGTTTGCTGGGAAACTCGACCGCGAGGCGATGAAGCGTGCGCTTCCCGACCCTGATGGTTACAAAGGCGATCCATCCCTTCCGGATGACTACCCATGGTGGTCTGGTCTCGAGGCCAAGACTAGCCGAGATGCCAAGCTCTCTTATCAGCTGGAGGCTCCCTTGACTTCTCCAACCCAGTCTGACGGGCCCAGCCATGAAGAAGGTCGGGTAGTGACCACCCTCGAGGGGAGCGACGAAGTCGTTGTTTCTTAGTTATTCTTTTGGGCTTGTTGCCTTTTATTTTCTGTGACTTTTTCTGTCATTTATTCTTATTGTTCGTTTTTGTCTCGATCTGGTTCTTCAGATTGTAAAGGTCGAGGCGACTCTTGTAATGAACCTATTTTAAATGCTATCTTTCGCTTTATTTTTACTTGAGTTGTCATGCACCCGCAACGTTGTATTTATGAATTAATCGAGACTTTACTTACAACTTCGTAGTTGTAAATTTATCGATACTCCATTTGCTTATACACTGTAGTTAGAATGACTTTACAGCCGTAGGCGTTATAGCCTCGACGAGTTCTGCTTGAGACGACTTTGTAATTGTTTAAAATCGACTTTTGTAGTTGCGGGCTTTATAGCCTTGCCGAGATTTCGCTCGAGGCATACAACGTTGTAGTTGTTTGAGTCGACTTTTGTAGTCGTGGGCTTTATAGCCTTGCCGAGATTTCGCTCGAGGCATACAACTTTGTAGTTGTTTGAGTCGACTTTTGTAGTCGCGGGCTTTATAGCCTTGCCGAGATTTCGCTCGAGGCATACAACTTTGTAGTTGTTTGAGTCGACTTTTGTAATCGTGGGCTTTATAGCCTTGCCGAGATTTCGCTCGAGGCATACAACTTTGTATTTGTTTGGGTTAATCGGCTTTATAGCCGTTCCGAAAGACTTGATTTTTCTAGTTATAATAAAATCAATATGGAAATGTAAAAATCACAACTTAAACATAAAATTGGGAGTCATTGCATTTTTGATTAGCCATTGTTCAGTACAAAAAGAGTTCGAAATACTATCTTAGGCATAAAAGCGTTTGAGATGAATCACGTGCCAGGATCGCGGCAACTGTCGTCCTTCGCCATCTTCGAGTTCGTATGCGCCTCTTTCGAGCACTTTGGTGATGGTGTAAGGTCCTTCCCAGTTGGCTTCAAGCTTCCCGACATGTTTAAGAGCATCTGATCGCTTGAGGGCGAGGTCTCCCACTTGAAATCGTCTGGTGCAGACTTTCCTATCAAAGGCTGCACGCATCTTCTGCTTGTACTCCACGGATCGCAGCCAGGCTTCCTCTCGCACTTCTTCTATCATGTCGAGGGCTTCTTTTGCTAACTCTTCATTGGTCTTTTCTGTATAGAAGGTCGACCTGTGAGATTCCAAGCCGACTTCGATGGGTAATAGAGCGTCCATTCCATAAACCATGTGGAATGGTGATTGCCCTGTTGAACTTCTTGGGGTCGTCCTATAGGCCCATAGGACCGTTGTCAGCTCGTCGACCCAGGCACGAGATGCTTTTTCTAATCTTTTCTTTAGCCCCTGCAGGATGGTTCTGTTTGTCACTTCGACTTGGCCATTTGCCTGTGGGTGCGCAACTGAGGCGAATCGCTGCTTGATCCCCATGTCGATACACCACGCCTGGATCTGTTTTTCCTTGAAATTGCGTTCCATTATCTGAAATGAAGATCTTTGGGATCCCGAATCGACAGCAGATATTATTGAACAGGAATTGTATCATTTTGTCTTCGGTGATTTTCGCCAGGGGCTCTGCCTCAACCCATTTACCAAAGTAGTCGACAGCAACCACCATGAATTTCCTTTGCCCTGTTCCCATCGGCAACGGGCCTACCAAGTCGATTCCCCATTGAGCAAAAGGGATCGGGCAGTTGATTGTCGTTATTGCCTCGGCTGGAATGTGGGGGATTCAACCATGGCGCTGGCATCTGTTGCATCCTTGTACTAATTGTTCGGCCGCTTTTCGGATCTTAGGCCAATAATAGCCTGCTCGGAGGGCTTTGCCAGCTAGGGCTCGCGATCCTACATGCGCTCCGCAACATCCTTCATGGATCTCCTTCAAGACATGATCTCCTTCTTTTTCAGAAACGCATCGCGGGTGGGGTCCGACCATTGACTTCTTATATAAAACTCCTTCGATCTCAAAATATTTACTCAAATATCGGGCTGCTTTCTCCGCCTCCTGCTTATCTCCTTCTGGCACTCGACTTTGTAATAGCTCGCGGATTGCTCTTCGCCAATCCTGCTTTTCGTCGACCTCCATTGTCTCACTTAGGACACTCCCTTCTAAGTGCAGTGTGGTAATATGATTCCCCATTTTTCCTTCATTCGAACTTGCGATTCTTGCGAGCCAATCGACTCGCTTGTTCTCTTCTCGAGGCACTTGCGTCAGCTTAAAACTTTCTAAGCCTTGCACCAGGCTCTGAATTTCTTCGACATATTTTATCATTCGATCCTCTTTGATTTCGCAATTTGCCAATACTTGCCCCACAACAAGCTGTGAGTCGGAATGTGCCATGATTTCCGTCGGTCCTCCCCCGATTGCCAGTTGAGTCTAGGGATGAAAACAGAAACGGTAATTTCCGATTACCGGGAATCGTTTTCGAAATTTTTTCGGATTTGGAGGCTAAACGGAAACGGAAACGGTAACCGAAAAACGGAAATGGAAACGGTAAAAAAATTCGAAAATGAAAACGAAACGGTTTAGCCCTTTTTCCGATCGTGTTCGAAAATTACCGTATTTAAACGGTAATTTATCGCCGGTAATACCGGCCCAACCCATACTAGGCTCACTTTTAATTATAAATCCCATTCTAAATCCCAAATGGGCTAAAATCGGAAATCCCCTTCAGACCAACACCAACGCAATTACGCAACCCTTCTACAGTGCCCAGAAATTCTCTTCATCCTCTTCACTCTCGAGTCTCGTCTCTGTCATCTCTCCCATCTGCTCGTCGTCTGCTCGTCGCCGCCGCGCCCCACTTGCTCGTCGCCGCCGCGCCCCACGCCCATCACCGTCGCAATCGCACCACCCGCTACAGGCTTCAGTTGCCGCCGCTTACCACACATTGAATTCACGCCAATAGTTATGGAGCCACCAGAAAAACCTGGACATCCTGGTCTTGTCACCGGAGCTCAGAAATCGGCGAAAGACTCCGGTAAGCTTCGTTTGATTTGTGTTCTGTAGGGCTGCGATTTTGGTGAATTTGTTTGTGCGAATTTGATGCAAATTTTGGGACAAGAGAATTGATTCTTAGAAATCTGTTTGTGCGAATTGATTCTTAGAATAGAATAAGTATGAGAATTGAATCTTCACACATCTTTTATGAGAATTGATTCTTAGAGTGTGTGAGAACTTAGAACTTCATCAGAAGAGAAAAAAAAAAAGAAAAAAAAAGGGTGACCATGAGACCAAAGGTAATAATGATTTCACTTACCAGTTTGTTCCAGGAGTGTGTGAGAACTTCATTAGAAGAGAAAAAAAGAAAAAAAAAAAGAGGAGTGATTTCAGGTTTTAGTTGCTTCATCTGCTTTGCTCTCATTATAATTAAAACTCAAAAGGGACGGGAAGGGCGTGCTTTGGATTGTACAAACACTGAAAAGAAAAGTATATAATGTTTATAGTATCTACAAAAGCCCACATTTGTTGCTTCATAACTTCTTGATGCCGTACTTTTGATTACTGCGTTTTGGATTGACTTTCGTCTTAATGGTTTGTTAGTAGCGCCCAACATTAATGCTAAATCAATGCTAATATGTTAAATGACAGTGGTGGCATTTTTACTACGTGTCGACAGTAGCATATTTGTTGATTTTAGATTAAGCTTCATTAATTCATAAAATGTTGTATCTATTTCTTTTGAACAATAAATCAATATGGTAGAACATAAAAATTGAACACTATATCCTAGATACATAATCTTTAAGAGATTAGATATATGGTGTCATGATTGTGATTCTTTTGTTAACTGCTTCAAGCTTGCTTCTTGCTTTTTATTTGCATCCGACTGCATAAATTGACAAGGATTGTGATTAGTAACTCTGTTCTATATCACCTAATACCTTGGCCTAACATTGGAAATGGTTTTCGTATAGCTAATTCCAGTCTGGTGCTTCTTTTGTTTGCATCTGCTTGTCATTAGTGTTATAATATGCCTTCATTATATTATGGAGTTCCTCATATGTTATTTAATGACGTTGGATTAATTTTATCAGCAGGAATTCGGATAATGCACATAATATATTATGGAGTTCCTGATATGATTGGTTCAGTGAAGGGAAATGGACAGGATATAGGAGGGCAGGCGGGAGGGGGGATTTTTGAAGTGAATTCAAGTCTCTCATTGTTGTTGTTAGAAAACTATGTGAAGAATCAGCACAATAATTTAGGTTTATCAAGCAGAAGCAGAACATAAGCTATTAAAAATTTAAGGTTCTAAGAAAAATATTAACTTGTGCTATTTAGTATTGTACATTGTTTCTGAGTTTATTTCTTTTAATTTGGGAGTTCTTTTGCAATTTAGTTCTTTCTTTAATATTTTGATTGATATTTGATAGGTACTCGTAACAAAATGATGTTGCCTTCAAGTGTCGCAAATCAAAGTTATAGTGTGTCTGCTTCCTCGCCAGCACCTGCTTCAACATCGATACCTTCATCTGAGGGAAGTTTAGTGCCAAGTGAAGCAGCCGATGGTGGTGGCACACAGGAGAGTCATGATGCCATCAATGTGGACAGTGATGTTGAGGAACAACCTGTTACCAAGAAGGCAAAGAAAACCACCTCTGAAGTGTGGCAATACTTCACCAAGTCCTGGGTGACAGTGGAGGTAAATGGCAAGCAGGAACAACAATGTTGGGCAAAGTGCAATTTCAAAGGGTGCAAAAACAAGACTAGCAAGCATAGAGCTGAGAGCAATTTTGGAACAACTGCTTTTTGGACACATCTTGCTAATTACCACAGTATAAAGAAAGGACAGCAGCAGCTCACAACAAAAAAAAAAAATAATGAGACAGGCATTGCAACAGTCCAACCCTATAAATATGATCAAGAAGCTAGCTTGAGGAAGTTCTATGAGGCAATGATTGTTCATGAGTATCCTTTCAATATGGTTGAGCATGAGTTTTTTCAAGAATGGGTCAAATCCATGCGTCCAAATTATCCTCTCAAGTCTCGTGTCACTGTTAGAAAGGAAATCATGGAGTATTATTCGGCTGAAAGAGACAAGTTGTATGAATACTTCAAAACCATTCAAAGCCGGTTTAGTGCAACGATGGATATGTGGACATCCAACCAGAATAAGGGTTATATGTGTGTCACCCTTCATTGGGTTGATGATGATTGGAAAATTAAGAAGAGGATTATCAATTTCCTCCATGTTGAAGGGCGACACACCGGTGAGAGGTTGTCTTATACGGTTAGTTCTTGTCTTTTAAAATGGTATGTTGAGAAAAAGATGTTCTCTTTGACTTTGGATAATGCTTCTGCAAATGAGGTTGCTGTTAAGGATCTAATTAAAGAGCTCAAGAAGCATAGCAATTTAGTATGTGATGGGCTATTTTTTCATGTGAGATGTGCTAATCACATCATGAATTTGGTTGTTAGAGATGGTATGCGTGTGATTTCAGATGCAACTGAAAAGATTAGGGCATTTGTACTTGCTGTTAAGGGGTCTACAATACAGTGGGAGGAGTTCCAAAAGTGTGCTGCTGAATGTGAGTTAGACACAAAGCCTTCTCTGTCACTTGATGTTTCTACAAGGTGGAATTCAACATATCTAATGTTGAGGGATGCTCTATATTATAAGACTGCTTTTGCGAGGCTGACTTCCATTGACCGCCACAGGTATGGTAGTATTGCTCCTTCATATCATGAATGGGAGAAGGCACAAATTTTGATTCCCTTCTTGAAAAAATTCTTTGAGCTTACTGAGATATTCTCTGGTACTACCTATCCAACGGCGAACCTATTTTTTAGAGGCTTTTGTGAGATTAAGATATTGCTAGCTGATTGGTGCATTAGTAAGGATACCACTATTTGTGGAATGGCAAATTCTATGAGTGTCAAGTTTGATAAGTACTGGAAGAAGTCTAATATTGCACTTGCTGTAGCAAATGTTCTTGATCCTAGGTTCAAGAGAAGAATTGTAGAATTTTACTTGCGAAAGTTCTATAATAATTCCTACCAAGCTGAACTTGAAAAATTCAATGGTATCCTAAGGAAGATGTTTCAATGCTATGTTTCTGATGCACCTTATTCTTCAAAGAGCAATAAAGAAGTTGAAGAACCGTTGGCAGATCTATTTATGGGCAGCAACAACATAGATGATGATCTTGATAACTACCTATTTGAAAGTGACTCATATGATGTTGATGGAGAGTTCAGTGAATTGGAAAGGTACTTAGCAGAACCACCATTGAAGACCACTAAAGCCAACCAGAACATGTTTGACATTTTAGCATGGTGGAAATCTCATAAGGAAGAGTATCTTGTCCTGTCCCGACTTACTCGTGATGTGTTGGCAATTCAAGTTTCAACCGTTGCATCTGAATCTGCATTTAGTGCTGGTGGTCGTGTCATTGATCCATATCGCAGCCGCCTTGATCCTGACATGGTACAAGCTCTTGTTTGCACTAAGGACTGGATAATAGCTACTAGAAAAGGTAAAATTTCAAATTGATTGTTGGTTTTAGATTACAAAGAGTTAAATTCACTAAGCACTTGGTTTTTAAATTTTTTATTTCAGGTTCTAAGAATGTTTCTTCGCTGCCTGGTGACCTTGATGTTCTTGAAGCCATTAAGAATAATCTAACGTTTGAGGTTCCTTCTTTCTTTCTTGAGTTGCAATATTAATAATTTCAAATATGTTGTCAATAATAATAGAATATGCTGACAGATTTATTTCAGTGTTGTTTCAATATTTCACAAGAATTAAGAGTCAAGTAAATATTTTGCACGCAAGGAAAAATGAAGATATGAGTTAAAGAAGTTATGATTTGAATTTATTTTACAATTTACAAAAATTGCATCATCTCTTTTCATATAGTTCTAATGTGAAGATAATGATTTCAATTCTTTTCAGGCCTTTTTATTATTCTTTTCGTGGAATATTTGTATGAGTGTTAAAATATTTTTCCATTACAAATTATAGGATGAATTCTCAGAAATGGGACGTGATGACGATGTGGCAATTGATAATGATGATTTGCCTGAGATTCAGTTGTAGGAAGACGACAACTTGCTGTGAAGGACAAGTTTATATATTATGTTTAACTCCCATCATTGTTTTAGTGATTTGTGTTTTGAATTCTGGGTTTCGTTTGTTGCGGTTTTTTGTGGATTTGGTGGTTCCATGGTTGATTTCTCACCTACTTGCTCCCATTTCATGTTTCAAATTTCAATTGCTACTATTATTCCATGAGAATTTGGTGGACAAGTCACAATTCAGTTGCTAGTTATTGAAATTTGTATGGATTTTGTTATAGCAAATGGTGTGGATTTTAATTTGGATTTTGCTACTATTATGCCATGAGAATATTTCAATTAATGTTTTAATGCTATATTTTATAATGTGGTGTATTTTTCGTTTTTTAAATAGCGTTTTAATATATTTCGATCGTTATCGATGTATTTTCGATCGAATAGTTTTGTTTTCGATATTACCGGAATACCGATGTCGTTTTCATTTCCGACATTATCATATCATTTTCGTTTTCGAGAAAAAAATATGAAACTGGAAATGGTTGAGCCTTATGCCGATCGTTTCCGATCGTTTTCATCCCTAGTTGAATCCCCTTAATTAGAGCTTCGTATTCTGCTTCGTTGTTCGAGGCCTTAAACCCATTCTGATGGCGAAGTCGAGCTGTTCACCTTGGGGGAATACTAGGACTACTCCCAGACCAGATCCCCTGGCTGACGAGGACCCATCGACGTGCATTATCCATTTCTTGCTTGCTCCCTTAGTCCCTTCTTGGATAAAGTCGGCTAGAGCTTGAGCTTTTATAGCTCGTCGCGGTTCGTACCTGATGGAAAATTCGCTAAGTTCAACTGCCCATTTTACGAGTCGACCCGAGACAGTAGGTCGACCCAGGGTTTCTCCGAGCTGGAAATTCGTCCTTACTATTATCACATGGTTAAGGAAATATGGCCTCAATTTTCTGGATGTGATTGCTAATGTTAATGCGGCCTTCTCGACTTCAGAATATCTCGCTTCTGCGCCTTGAAGTACTCGACTTGTATAGTAGATCGGTTGTTGGGCCCCTTTAGTTTCTCGCAGTAATACAGAACTTAGAGAAAATATTCCCACTGAGATGTAGAGCACCAACTCGTCGCCCGGCTCTGGCTTTGTTAACAACGGTAGCTCGCTCAGAAACTCCTTCAACTTTTCAAACGCCATTTGAGCCTCGTCATTCCACTGAAAAGCTTTTTTCTTGAGTAACTTGAAGAATGGGAAACTCCTTTCCGCAGCTCGAGCTATGAACCGACTTAGGCCTGCAATTCGACATGTCAGGACTTGCACTTGTCTGACATTTTTTGGCGGGGCCATGTCGAGTATGGCTTGCACTTTGTCCTTATTTACCTCGATGCCTCTCTCAGTCACGACAGAGCCCAGGAATCGTCCTGCCCTTACTCCAAAGGCGCACTTACTTGGGTTTAGCTTCATTCCAAATGTTCTTAGTGTCATAAATGTTTCCCTCAAGTCCTCCACATGCGAGATCGAGGACCTACTTTTCACCAAGATATCGTCCACGTACACTTCCATATTTCGCCCGATCTGCGATTTGAACATTCGATCCAATAACCTCTACTATGTTGCCCCTGCGTTTTTAAGCCCGAAAGGCATGACGACATAACAATATGTCCCCTTGCTCGTGACGAAACTAACTTTGCTTTGATCCTCTGGAGCCAACGGGATTTGGTGATATCCCTGGGATGCGTCCATCATACTTAGCAATTGACAGCCAGCTGTGGAGTCGACCAGCGTCCAGCTGGTTGATTCTTGGCAGGGGGTAGTGATCCTTTGGGCAAGCTAAATTTAAATCGCGAAAGTCAATGCACATACGCCACTTATTTAGCGCTTTTCTCACCATCACTGTGTTCGATATCCATTCTGGGAATTGAATTTCTTTGATATGTTTGGCTTTCAGTAACTTATCCACCTCGACCTCAATTTCTTTATCGATCTCCACCCCATGATGCCTAAGTCGTTGCTTCACGGGCTTTTTCAGGGGGTCAACATTAAGTTTATGTTCCATAACGTCGGGATCGATTTCCGTCAACTCTTCAGGGGAAAAAGCAAATATGTCTCTGAATTCTTTCAACAGTCCCACCAACTGTCGACGCAACTCATCTTCCAACTCTCCCCCTACTTTAGTGGTCTACTCCTTTTTTTCCCTGATTTGAATTTTCATCAATTCTCCGTGCGGCTCAAGGTCGCTCTCCCTTTGTCTCTTTTCATTTGACACCGACTTTTTCCCTTCCTTTACTTCCGTTCGTTGGTTTGTTCTCACTGCTATATGGTAACAGGATCTTGACAGTCTCTGGTCTCCTCGGGCCTCCTCTACTTTATCTCCAACGGGGAACTTCAGCTTCATGTGGTAGGTCGACACCACCGCCTGAAATGCGTTGAGCAGTGGCCTTCCTAGGATTACGTTATAAGCCGACTCGACGTCGACTACAACGAATCGCACCATCTTTACCTTCCTTAAGTCGCCTTCCCTGAGGATGACAGCGAGCGTGGTTTCTCCTAGGGGTGCGACTTTCTAGCCATTAAACCCAAAAAGGGAGGCGTGCAGGGGTGCAAGCTCGATGTCGAGTTCCATCCGTTTAAGACAATTGTAAAAGATTACATTCACCGAACTTCCCGTGTCGACAAAGATCCTCTGTACTTCATAGCCTGGTATCTAAGCTGTGATCATTAGGGCATCGTTGTGAGGTCTCTCGACTTCTCCCATGTCTGCTGGCCCAAAATTCATCACTGGGCCGTTTTCCTCGACCTGTTGCACTTCAATTTTCCTGTGGTGTCCTCGAGCATACGCCTTTCTGGCTCGATTTGAATCTCCATCAGTTGGCCCTCCGAATATCATATGAATTATTCCTCTTTTTTGAGGGAGCTCCTCCTTGTCGGGTGTCCTCGCTCTCTTGCGAGGGCTCTTGCTTCTCTCCCTCCGCCGACTGGTTCGATCTCGATCCTTATAAACGAACTCCTTTAGATGGCCTGCTTTGATTAGCCTCTCGATCTCATTCTTCAGGTGCCGACATTCGTCGGTATTATGCCCGTAGTCCTTGTGGAATCGACAATACATATCGCTTTTGGGCTTTGTCGGTCCATCCTTCCTCGTTCGTGGCCACCTGACAACACTTTCGTGAATTTCTTTCTCCATTACCTCCAATATCCTTGCATTCGAGGCTGACAGGGGGTATATTGAGTTGTCCTCCATCCCCTTGATCGCCCCTCCCTTTTTGACTTCGGGGATCCTTTCCTTTCTCCTGTCGCGATTGGTTTCTTATCCTTCTTCTCGTCCCGAGACTCAGCTTTCGCTTTAGCTGCTTACAAAAAGTCGGCTTCAGCTTCCTCGACATTCATGTACTTGGCGCACCTTCCTAACACCTCATCGAACGTCCTCCCGGGTCGTTTGCTAAGGAGTTTCTGCATAATCCCGGGAGGAGTCCTCTAGTGAGTCCACCCGACTTGATTTCCTCAGTGGCTGAGGGGACGTCGACGCATGCTCGCGTGTATCTTGCTACGTAATCCCTCAATGATTCTCCTTCTTTCTGTTGCATGCCGATCAGGGTAAGGTAAGACTTTTCTTGGGCCTTTACACTTGCGAATTGATTTAGAAAACTCGAACTAAATCCGTCAAAGTCCCTGACGGCTCCTGGGGGTAATTGATGAAACCAGTCTTGCGCAGGCCCTCGCAGAGTTGTCAGGAACGCTCGACATTGAACGGGATCATTGTAGCGGTGCAGTACTGCCATGTTCTCAAAACTCCTCAGATGTCGAGAGGGGTCAGTCGACCCATCGTACCAGATGTTAAGTTCTCTAAACCCCTGAGGCAAGTCAGCGTCTAGAATATGCTGTGAAAAAGGGGTGTCCCCTCGAGCTTCCTGTTTTTCTCCCCTCGACTCGAGCCGGCAAATCTCGCACCTGCGCTAACAACTGCTTCAGGGTGTCGTTCCTCGCCTGTGGATTGACAGTCCTGACAGAGGACTCCTATTCATCGGCTCTCCTGTTCTGGCTCTCTTGCGACTGTGCTTGCTGTTCGCGCTCCGGGGGTGGTTGTTCATTTTGAGGCTGCTCGACCCTTGCTTGTTCGATCCTGTGCCGCTCGACCCTTGGTTGTTCGACTTGCGTCTGTTTGAGTTGGGCCGCTACTGCCTCCGCGATCATTCTCTGCATCTCGCCTCTCATCATGGTCAATCTTTGTTCCTCGACTTGGGGCGGCGGTCTCCCTTCCTGTTCGAGCGGTCCAGGCTGCTTTCCCAGAATTAGGGTCGTCTCGGTTGACTCACGGCCATTGACTTCTCCGCTAGTGTTTTTTATGTGGCTGGTCTCCCCTTGAGTAAGCACAGGGATCTTGACTCCAGGTGGGGTAATAGGCGTTTCTTCTCCCGCACGTCCTCCCACCGGCGCGTGCATCCCGAACGGTGGAAATCCCAGCACCTGGAGTGGTGGTCTAGGGCAGGGGATCGTCGGTGGTCGCTTATCTGTCCATGCTCCCCTGAAATCCTCGTTTAAGTATCTCTGCAGTCCTTCCTTCTCAGCCATCGAAGACAGATCAAAGCTAGGTGTAAAGCTCTTAATTCCTTCAAGAACTCCCCACAGACGGCGCCAAAATGATGGGTCTATTCTCGGATCTGGGGTGAACCAGTGGAAAATCGCCCAGATCTGGAATGAACCGATGGGAACAAGCTCAGATCTGTCTTGATGGTCTCCAAATTGCTATCGAACCGTGAGAACACCTGCAAGAACTCAACGCCGGAGGGATTCCGGCGTAGAGCCTCTGACGCTCAAGTCAGTATGTGAAAAGGGTGAAAAGAGCTGCTCTGAGGGAGCAGCAGCAATGGAGGAGAATGTAGAATGAATGGGAGTTAGGGTTTTGGAGTTACCTCAGCTTCTTTATATAGAAGTAAAACATTTACCTGAAGTCCCCAAAATGCCCTGGCCGACTTATTGGAAATGTCCAAAATACCCTGGTCGGTTCGCATTCCGTCCACTTCCTAGTCAGCATCTAGATTCTTCCTTTCCTTTGGTAGCTTCCTTCTTATCCTTAACAACTGTCCTTCGATATGTTGAAGTGCACTGGAGTCGTCGAGATCTTATGAGCTTCAAGACTTCCTCAGTCGACTCGGGATATCAACTCGAGTCGACTGGGCCATATTCAATTGTTAGTAGATCCTCACGCGTTTGACCGTCTTCCAAGAGGAAATCCACTTATGCTAGTCGACATGTGGAAGTCGACTGGGAGAAATGCCTGGACCCTTGACCGGAGATACCATAAAGAATCTGCAGACAGAGTCGACTTCGCGTAAGTCGACTCGGTAATCTCTGAACCGCAATGGTATTGAACCGTTATACGACAGTATGGCTATATCAGACTCATTATAAATAATTATAACGGATTCTAATTTTAGCATTTTTATTTAATAGAACATAAAATAAGAATAATAAAATTATATTATTTATTAGAAATTTAAAAATACGAATTTTACTGAAAAATTAAATTTATATATTTCTCTATTTTTTTAAGAAGATAAATAATATAAAAACTAAATAAAAGTCATAAATACAAATAATATATAGCTATTGAATTAAATTTGTTTTATTTATAAAATTACTACTTTAGTAATATATAATAAATAAAGTATCATTTATTTTATTTTCAAGAATTTTACTTTATATATATATATATATATATTATATTACTTCAATTCATGAAAACATATTTTAATTTTTATATTAAATTTATTTTATATTTATATATTTTTATTTTTTAATAAAAGTATCATTTGTTTCAATATTAAATAATAAAATTATTTTATTATTTTCAAATTACACATTTAAATTTATTCAGTTTAATATTTATTTTATTTTAATTATATTTTCTTATAGTTAATCTGTTTTGTAATTATTTTATTTTATTTTTTGTTTGATAAAGTTTTGTTCTCTTTGTGTTCTTTTAGATAAGTGTGTGTCAAATATATACCATACAATGATGGTAGCAAGGTAGTTGGTGCCTTGTGTGTAGAGTTTTTCGCCTGAGATCGAACCCTGGGATAAGAAAAATATTTTTCAGTATTTTTCAGGGGTAAAACAGTAATTTCAGTCACTTTAGGGTGAAAAAATGAAGAAAAAGTCGCACAGCACGCGCGTGCACTCCACTGCCGTCATCTTAGACGGTTTAGGGGGTTTCGCGCATGCAAACCTTAAATATAAGGGGGTATGACGCAATTTTTAAAATACAGGGAGAAACGCGCAGATTCAGTATAATACAGGGGATTTGATGCAATAAACCCATTTTGCAATTGACATAATTTTATCGGACCAAATTTACACTTTTCTCCTTAGAAGTTGGAAGAGGTAAATTTGTACAAGCCACCATACGACGGGCGATTTCCTTAGTTATTGGCGTATTAGGATTAGGTCTCTCTAAAAAGTAAAAACTTAAATCTGCGAGACAACATAAATATCGCCATCTGCAGAATTGCCTTCCCCAAATACCCAAAGCAAAACCATTCATTGACCTCACTTACATGGAGTCGCGTATCAAGGTAAACAATCTCTGTCTGATGACTTTTAGATTCTCTCTGGTATTCAGTGACAGCCCTAGCTTGTGGAAGTTGATTTATTAATCGTTTGTTTGTTTGTTTATATTTTTCTGGAGTTGGAATATCTTTTTAACTCACAAATTGATTTGTTTCTTATCATGATTGTGCTTAAAGTATCAGTATGAAAGATTGAATCTTTCGGGACTTTGTGATATGCTGCGTTCAGAAAAATATGTCATTTGGAAGGTTTCCAGTGTTGAACTTTTTAATTACTCCTTTAAGTCATATGAAATTTAACTATGAAATGCTTCATTTTGAAAATTTAAATTGAAAATATAATGTGCTGATAAGGAAAAGATCGATCTTGTTCCTTCTTGTTTGTTTGGTTCACATGATCTTAACTAATTCTGGTCTTCATCTTTATATAGTGCCTACGAAATTCAATGGATAGACTACCAGACGAGCTGATAATCTACATAGTGTCACTTTTACCTTTGAAAGAAGCTATACGGACTAGTGTCCTCGCCCGAAAATGGCAATTCTTCTGGATTTCTAATACGATGCTTGACTTTGATGCTTCATTATCAATTCGTGAGTTCAAGAATAATAGAAGGTCCCTTTCAAGTGAAAGGATAAGATACACTGAGCAGGTGAATCGATTGCTGAGCCTGCATTCTGGTGAGTCCATAGACAAGTTCCGGATATCGTTCGACTTGGATATAAGTTCTGCCCGGGATATCGATAGATGGATCAAATTTGCATTTGCAAAGAGGGTTAAAAGGCTAGCATTGGAGTTCGTGCAGCCCGGTCTTTATAGATACGGTCAATACACTTTTCCAAAGCAGGGTCTACCGGTTTGTGAGTCTTTGGTCTCGCTCGTTCTGTGTAAAGTGGCAATTGATGGAGAAACTCTCGAGTGTTTTATAAGTAACTGCCCATTACTCGAGGAATTACATGTGGAAGATGCAAACTGTTTGAGAAGTTTGAAGGTCAGCTGTTGCCCGAATCGGCTGAGGCGGCTGGCGATAATTGATTGCCTGGACTTGAGGAGGCTCGATATTTGCTCGCCTGATCTCGTCTCGTTCACATTGGACGCGTCCGAAATTGCTGTGACCCTGAAAAGTGTTTCGTCTATCGTTGACCTAACCCTTGGGGCACTATGGCCTTGCAAGCTGTCCACTTATTTGTTCAGAATTTCCGGGTGCTTGGCTCGGTTGGAGACACTAACGCTACACACGTCCATAATACAGGTTCTTCCTCTCTCTCTCTCTCTCTCTCTCTCTCTCTCTCTCTCTCTCTCTCTCTCTCAATCAAAGTATTAAAAAAAACTGTTTTTTTTTTTTTTTTTAATGCGTGTGAATTAGGAAATTGAAGAGATGGACTTCCCAAATTTACCGAGCCTCAAAAAGTTATCAATTGAAGTTAAAGGAGTTGGTTGTTGGAGCATCCGTTGCTTTGTCCCATTGATATATGCTGCACCCATGCTTAGTGAAGCTGTGTTCAAGGTTAGTTAGTTATCCAAGTAATAATCTTTAGATGTTGAGTGTTTTGTGTTTTATGAAAAATCTAGGATTAGATCGTGTACCATTTTCTTTCCTATTAAATCCATTTGATCCGAAATCTCTGTCTGAGGAGATGAGATGGGGAATAGTGAGAGTCCTAATGTGGCGTAACTTAAGACTGTTTGGATTGTGGGATTCGGAAATCCCAAGTTATTATAATGATTGCATTTGGAATTTTCTGCATTTCAAAGTCATTTAATATATTTATTGGGTGCCCGTGGTCAACTTTGTCGAACCTCAAACTCCAATCCATTGCTTGTGGGTTTCCAATCTAGCTTTTCTCCTTTAGTTTAGAGACCTTGGAGGACTCGATTCGGCTTCAGCTTGCGCTCTTAGCCTTCTGACTTTCCTTCGTCTAGTATTTGGTGGTATAATCTCCAGTCCATGAGTTGTTACTATCATGACTGATTATTAATCATGTAGGTATAATTGCGTTTTATTCGCGTGACTATGTGAGACTGCTTGTGTGCTTTTTTGCATGATTCGTGTGCACAACTTGTGTGTGTATGTGGATCGTGGGAGAGGAGGGTGCCATATTGTCCATGATATTTGATATAGATGCATAATGTTTTTCAGCGAATGAGGGCATTTATTTCTTCTGTTTCTATGAACAGCTGAAACCCAGTGTTCTGAAACCAAGATCAATACGACGACCAAACATAGGAAAAAGACGACACGATTGCCTCAAAGTGTTTGAAATAATCGGTTTTGAAGGCACGGCAGTCGACATAGAATTGTCCCTATATGTGCTTGAGAGTGCCTTTTCGCTAGAAAAGGTGGTTATTAATGGCCGCACTAAAACAGGAGATCAAATTGGTAAGCTAAGGGAAAACTTTTCCAAGTCTAAGGTGTTTATGTGTTGAGATGGAGCTGATGTGTTTTATCAGTTTACTTTGATGTAATTTTTTTGCAGATTATGTGCTTTCCTTGGTCTCTAACTGTTGGTGGTGGTGTTGATATTGTTCTTAGTACATAAACTCAATGTTTTAAATACTGTGTACCGGGGGCCATACCGGGCCATACCGGTCTAGCCACGGGTACGCGGTATTACCGGTCGGCCAGGTAATATCGGTGGTATTACCGGACTAGCAAATATAATGATATATATATTTATATATAAAAATGTATAATACCAAATGTAAAAAAGTAAAAAAAATAAGTGACCACAATCCTTAAGTTTTAACTTACCAATAAAAATAAAACATTCTAATTACCAATTTAAATTTTATGTTTTTAATTAATAATTTTTTTTTTTTTTTTTATGACCGGTATTTTCCGGTATTTATGTTATGACCCCAGTACAAATCGGTATTACCCATGTTTTAAATACCTTACCGTACTGGCCGGTAATACCGGTAATACCGAATATCGGCCTATAAATACACTCAAAATACCGGATTTACGGTTATACCGGTTTGTACTGGGATCATAACGTAAAAACCACAAAATACTGGTCCAAAATACCGGTTAATTAAAAAAAATAAATTTTTTTATTTAAAAAATATAAAATTTAAATTGGTAGTTAAAATATTTTATTTTTATCTCATTGAAAAGTTGAAATTAATGATTATGGTCATTTATTTATTTACTTTAGTGTATTTGGTATTAAATATTTGTATGTATATTTATATTTATTATTATATTTGTTAATCCGGTAATACCATTGATATTACCGGTCCGACCGGTAATACTGCGTACCGGTGGCTAGACCGGTATGACCACCGGTACGGTATTTAAAACACTGGGTATTACCTTAAATTTGGTATTTTGTGTGTAATTATACTGTACCAATGATCGATATCCAGTATTACTGGTATTGTCGATTGGTACGGTACTGAAAACACTGCATAAACTCATTAGCCACTCAAAAATTGTCTCAAATTTGGGGATACAAAATGTACTTAATTTAACCCAGCAATTTAACCAAATAACTAATTTGTCTGGATATTAGTTGACTGGTGTAAAATATTATAATTTTTTTCTTGCATAATATGCCTGTAGATCTCAAAATTTTAAATATTTTATTATTTAAAATTTTTATTTATTTTTATACATAAATCTAAGAAAAATAAGATATATAATTAATAAAGTAATTATTTCGTGTCCACCGAGTCAAATCCCAAGATAAAAAAAAAATACGATTTTATCAAATTGTGAAGGATCAATCAATTTGATGTCTATTCTCAACAATTCTCCTATACATATAAATTGTATAAAGGAAAATACTACATGTACATAATAAGAGTACATAGAAATGTACATAACTCTCACATGGTATGGGGTCCACTTGATTTTTATTTTTTGTGGGTCTCACACAATGTGAGTATTATGTACACCCTTATTTACACCATTATGTACTTGTAGCATTGCTCTTGTATAAATAGGGTGCTCTACCCAGAGAAATTTATACACTGTACGATACATTTAATTTTTTATTACATTAATGAGACCAAGTCATAAATAATAGCAATTCAACTAGCTAGAGACTTTTTATTTGCAAAACTACCTGATGTCAAGAAATCATTAATTTACATATGTAATCAATTTTTGAAGTAATTAATAGAAAACTTATCACCTTCCCAAAAGTCACGACACTCTCTCTCTCTCTCTCTCTCTCTCTCTCTCTCTCTCTCTCTCTCTCTCTTCTTTTTCTCTGTCACTCTCTTCTTCTTCTTCTACAACATTACGCATAAAATTTTCTCTCTTCCTACAGTTGAAATTTTTATTTATTTATTTTTATCGGTCGAAGATGAGCGACCCACGGCATGGATGAGCGCATGGTCGACAGATCGATAGATTTTTTTTTCTCTTCTTCTTTATTTAATTTTTAATAATGATCTTTTTTTTATTGTTTTGGTTTTATTTTAGTTTCTATTCAATATATGTATGATCAATGACTGATGATGTTTCAGCTTTTTGGAGAATTTTTTTGTTTGATTTATTATGTTGTTGGATATGTTTCGTATATATACAGTATATTTTTCAATATATGCTCCCGTAACTACATTTCGACAGTACATGTTGCGTGTATTGTCTGTTCATTATATATTTTTGTTTTTCGTGCTCCGTGTGCTTATTATCTAGCCCTTGCTTCATTTGTTTATCATATACTCTACATATACTAAAATAATTTATTAAAATATTGATTATGATCAGTTTATGATATGTATATGATGAGTTATATATTGAAAAAAATTTCAAATATCACAATTGTGCTTAGATAAAAATGCTATATAATTAAAAAAATCATGTTTTATACTGAATATATACTGATTATAAACGCAACATATAATGTCTATTCAAAAAATGGGTACGTTTTAATATTCTGGGTATATGCAAATATCACGATGAACAAATTCCTAATTAGTAGGTAATATACACTTACCTTTTTTTTTTCAGATAAAAATCTCACACATGCGTGATTGTAGGAGACGTGGGGGAGATATGAAATCTTAATTACTTTGGTAACAGATATTTAGCTTCAGCGCAACTAAATGCACTTCAAATGATAATCATGCAAATAAGATTTATCTCCGTACATATGTAATATATTTAAATTCATGTGGTGAAAAAGAAAATTTCCCCCCAACCAAAGCCGAAAGACACCTCATAATTCAAAGTCTCAAGTTCAAGAATTATCATGTACTCTTTGAAGATTTGAAGATGTTCTTGAAGATTCAAGGGCATTCAAGATGAAAATCGGCGTTCAATCCAGAAGCAAACCTTCTAGCCTCCGGAGTACGCTCAATGGAGAAGAATGTCAAATAGGTGGTGATTCTTCTTCAATAAATAAAGAGGTGATGTTCTGATGTAGGGAAGCGTACGAGTGGGAAATATAAATGAGAATTCAATCTCAGAACATGATACAACACGATCATTTTTTTAATCAAAATCAATCGAGAAGAATGAAGTAGAGGGAGTTCTTTTTCTAAGGCCTCTAAAGCCTAAATCTAACTTGGTCACCAAGATTAAGTAAAATAACAAATAAATATTGAATAATAATAATAATAATAATAATAATAACAATAATAATAATTATTATTATATTAATAATAATTCATAAACTAATGGTTCGTGACGATCATATTTGTCGAGGTATGCTAACGGACTCTCGTCGGCATCATTCTCCCCCGCTGGAGAGGATTCGCCCTAAATTTGCACCACTCTCGTCGTCATTGGAATCGTCCTCATTCAAAGAGGTCAAGTGTTTCATGTGAAAAATATCTGATGTGCACACGAGCGGGCAAACGAAGATGGTAGGAGTTCTGAGTGATCTTCTCGATGATCTTGTTGGGGCCGATTTTACAGACGAAGAGCTTACTACCCGCGCGCGCCGGAAAGCGGTCCGACAGCAAAACATGTAATGCCCCGTTATTTTTATAAGAAAAATACCAAATATTTTTTTGAACTTAGAGTTTATTTTTTCAATCATTTTAAATTTATTCAACTGACATTACTCGACTTATCTCAAATCAACACTTCATGCCAACAAGTAAACATGATTCAATATTAATTTTTTTCTTTTTTTTTTCCGAATTCAATATTAATTTCAAATATTAATAATATCAATCATCCCAATACATATCCAAGCATGAATAATAATCCAGATTCATAAATCAAAACAAATCCAAAGTAATACATCACTCCAGCAACAACATGCTAATGAATAAGCGGAAGCAAATAAACAATTCATAATCACAATTAAGTATGACCCCGCTCGCCCGTCTTTCGTCGCTGTCAACAGCTCAACCTGAAAAGGGGGAAAATAGTAGGGGTGAGCAAACCAACTAGCTCACCGTGGGAATACCATGCAGTCTATTCAATATAATGACTTAAAATCATAAGCGCAGCATGAACACAACTCATCTAGTCTACCTCCTATATCGCTCTATGCTTATGTGATCACATCTAAACCGTCGGTACAACACTAATGGGAGCTAAACCGTTGGCACAACATCAACGGGAGAAACCTCTCATAATCACAAATAGAAAAATGTCGGCACAACATTAACGCGAGAACATCTCATAGACTAAAGGTTCACATGCATACAGTGATTATCACGCCAAACAATTATAAAGAATAGCATACATGGTAAGGTTTATCAACATCCACCTGATTAGCAGTCAGGCAGACAAATATTACACTGGCTCGGGTAGGTCAGTGAGGCTCGACTCCTCAAAGTATACATTTAATCAAGATAATATCTCAATATACTTATCTTGATAATTCAAAATTAAATGAAAACCTACACGTAATCAAAATTAAGGATTATGAGTTTTTATCTGATTTTTCATGAACATGAAACTCTCAAATTTAAAAACAATTAGACCCAGAGAACGAAAATGGGGTCCCATGACTTGAAATATTTTTTCCAAATTTTCTCAATTTATTTTAATTTTTAAAATGGATTCGACAAAAAAAAGCTCCCGACACACAAAATGGCCAAAAAGGCGCACTTGGGCTGCTTTGGCCACTTGCATGAAGGTTGTTGCGGACTGGGCCAAAAGAATTGAAACGAAATTTGGGCGCGCTCCTCAAACAAGCATTTTGGGTCGCACCTAAGGCTGTACCAAGCAGGGCAACGCGGGCCTTACTGGGTTGGGGACGCGGGCTCACGGGCCGCAGCTGCGGAGGGAAAACGGGCTATGCGCGGGCCGACGTGGGATGAATTAAAGCGCGGGTTGAGGGTTGCTGAAAAGAGTTGACTGCTGGGAGTGGGTTTTGGGCCGCAAGAAATGGGCCTCGCAGTTGAGAAAAAAACTGGGCTGCGAAACGGGCCTAGCTCACGAGGACAGAGGCAAAACTGGGAAAAAGA